ATGTATTTATTTAAATAAATGGTTGGATTTTTGATATATATATATATATTGTATATGAATAATTCATCAGACTAAGATAATACTATAACATCTCTTTAACTTATTAATTTTTAATTTTTAATTCTGAAAGAAAAAATTACTTGGATAAAATTAAACAAAATCAAACGAGTATATATATTTTACTGGAAAAAATAAAGCATTTTTTTGATAAAACTGAGGGTGTGGGTGTGGGTGTTACCCTTACGTCACATTCACACTCACACCCTCAAGAAATGCCCTCTATACTTATTTATATTTATTCTTTTATTATATAATACAGAGAATTTATTTGAAGATTCAAAAATGTGTGTGTCAGCGTGATAGTCTCTTGTCCTACACTCATATCCAAATCTTCATATTCAAATCTATGTAATACGATACGTCCATCGTGTAATGTTTTACGATAGTAATGTTAATAGTTAAAGTCATGAAATGTCAATAAATCAATAAGATTAAGTTCGTGAATAAGTTTTAACAATGTAAGAGAAGACTGATAGTATTCCCATGATAGTTTGCTGCAATAATATCGGTTTTATTGTCATTGTTCACGTCACCTACTGCTACTGATAGTGGACCAGTACCAACCGAGTAAGTTAACTGAGAAAGAAATATTCCATTGCCTGTACCGAGAAGCACACCGATGGTATTCGAACCAGAATTTGCGACAATAATATCTTGGTTATTATCACCATTCATGTCACCGATTACTACTGAATATGGAGTATAACCAGTTGAATAAGTAATTTGAGAAAGAAACGTTCCATTGCCTCTGTTGATAAGAACGCTAACGGAATCCGCACCAGAATTTGCAACGACAATATCGATGTTATTATCATTATTGACATCACCTATTGCTAACGATTGTGGCTTGGTACCGACTAAATAATTAGTCTGAGAAAGAAATATTCCATTACCAATGTTTAGAAGAACACTGGCGGTATTTGACGCATAGTTTGCGACAATAATATCGGCTGTATTATCATTATTTACATCACCCATTTGTACTGACACCGGAGTGTTACCAACTGTATAAGTAATTTGATTAAAAAAAGTTCCGTTGCCTTTGTTGACTAGAACACCGACGTTACGCGCTCCAGCGTTTGCAACAACAATATCCGATGCGTTATCATTATTCACATCAGCTACTGCTACTGCGTAGGTATAGCGGCTAGCTGTGTAAGTAACTTGAGAGAGAAACGTTCCATTACCTCTGTTGAGAAGAACGCTAATAGTGGTCGCACCGTAATTTGCAACAGCAATATCGACTTTATTGTCACGATTCATATCAGCTACTGCTACGAAATATGGACTTTGGCCAACCTGGTAGGTAATCTGAGATGAAAAGATCCCGTTACCAGAATTTAGAAGAACGCCGATAGTATTTGATTCACGATTCGCGACGACAATATCGGATTTATTGTCATTATTTATATCTGCTACTACCACTGATATGGGAAAAGAACCAACTGAGTAAATTGTTTGATTGTAGAACATACTGTAGCAACCTATTAAATAGAAAATATACGTGTCAGGCAGAATTTAAACTTATTTTTGAAATCATTCTATGATCATATGATTTTAAAAAAGTTTCAAACAACAATACAGTTGCTATTATTATTTTAACTTTTTGAAAGTTGTAAAGTTCTTAAGTTGTATTTGATAAAAATTGAATATAGTCTTAGAAAGATGTAGAGTGCGGTAGATGTTTAAAACAAAATATAACGAAAACTGTTCATTTCCATTCAATAAAATATTCTAAAATAAGTGTTTCTTAATCAATTGATACGTTATTTACCTTGTCAATTGTTACTGATATGCCTGACCAAGAAAAAATTCAAATTTCTGCGCGGAAACAAGATATGTGAGAATACAGGTGAGAAAATATAATACTCACATCATTCTCAAGAGAAAGTTGGTGTATTTACGCTCAAGTACTTATGTTGGTGAAAAGTGTTCTTTTCGGGTGTGGAGTTAGCATTTTATACCACTACAGTTTTCTTTTAACACCTCGACTCTAAATAAATGCTACTCAAAACATAAGATTATGTGTTCATAAGCATGTCCATGTGTAAAATCATGCCCACAAATCAGATTAAAATGGATTATGTCATAAATAAATATAGATTAAAACCGACTGTTTCAGTTATAAAAGGGGATTTTTCTTGGATTCAATCTTGTGCTAAAATAATGCCAACTTAATATTTCCTGATTGTTTTCTCTTTGCTATCTAAAATAGTGGTAGTTACAAATAGCACTGCACATAAGTCTTCAAAAATGACTCAATAAATATATAGTACATGAAAATAATTAAAGCCATAACAGCGAACTACTGTTTTCGCTACACTATCTACACAATAAAAGCTCATCTTTAACGCCAGACCTGTAGAAGAACTAACAGTTCACCTTCTTGAAAATGGATGTCAAACGATGAAACAGTGTAACAACAATCAATGCTCTACTAATTAACACAAAATCTGATCTCACTACCAGTCTACTTCCTAGCTTATCGCTTAAAGATCAACGGTGGTACACTCACTATTTGGGCTTTGCTTCTATGAAGGAAAGGAACAAAGGTTTAAGTAAATTGGTCCACAAATATTTTCTTTTCGTAGCGTTCTCTTTATCTTTTTTCTACTAAACAATACAATAACCTTTTCATCTACACTGAGTTTTGAAGGATCTCAAAGTCTGAATATTTCTTTCCATACGGATGGCAAAATAGTATATTTTATTGTTTCTCTCGACGATCATAGAGTTTAGCGTCTTTCAAAAGATATTCCTTGAGAACCTATCGTTTAGCGACATATATGTTTAAGATTTCAAATTAGTTCTTTCGATATACACTCTCATAACTTACTGTTCGTCACCAATATGTATCCTTCCCAATTCTCCTCCTTTGTGGTGGCTGGTGTCAAACTAAAGCAATCTCTAAGTTCGCAAGTTTGAGTAATGAGCAGGGTTGCCAGATGCTACAGCTGAAAATCCGGAATTTCTTTTTTAAAATCCGGAAAAGTCCGGAAATTTTTTCTCAAAATCCGGAAAAAAATCCGGAAAGATTTTTAGAGACCATTTTAATTGATTAAACTTCAGTTTCTCAACCAAAATATCAATAGTTTTGTTCTGAAGCTCCAAAAAATATATATTTCAATGGAAAAAATGTCAAAACATAATGAACTTAACAAATAATAAATCATAAACCATACATTTACATGTTAGATAATACGTTGTTTTTCTAATAGAATCTTTTTCACTAGAGTGAATAAGTTTTAACAGATCCGGTTTCGATAGAAAAAAGTCATAAACTTGTGCATAAGGTATAGATGCATTTAAACGAATTTTCATCTCAGCCGCAATAAGATCTGTTGACATTCTATTCCTTTGATCAAACATTCTGAATTTGAAAAAGAAAGATAAAATCAAAATACAAGCGACGTTTTTTTTGCTATTGTTAATAGATTTCATAAGAAAAAGTATAGACCAGGACCGAGAAAGACGATTAGTCGTCTAAAGACTAATATAAGGAAGCATAAAACCTCTATTACATCAATAAAAGTTTCTAAAATATAAATAAAAATATATATAAGCAGCTAAAATGCAATTTTTTATATGAAAAATATCCAAAACCGGAAAAATCCAGAAAAATTTTCAAAATCCGGAAATTCTTCAGATATCCGGAAAATTCCGGACGCCGGAAAAAATCCGGAAAAAATCTGAAAATCCGGAACTTTTCCGGGAAATCCGGAAGAAATGGCAACCCTGATAACTATACCTTTTGTTGTTGTTTGCATCGTCTTTTTTATTGTTATTTCAGTTGTTGATATGTCTTCATTCACTATCTTTTTTCTTATGTTAATAACTATCGGAATAATTATAACTAAAACAGCTACAATAAAAGTAAATGTGATCCACGTCACTTTTCTTGCTTTCAGATGATGATAGCTAGAATAATAATTTTTTTTATCAACGTGTACGATTAATAATATAATACTTACAATGGTTTTCGTTGCTTTCTATTCGAAATAACCGTTTCAGGCTAAAATAATCAAAAAAAAACAAAAACTATATTATTTGTTTTTTCTTTTTCTCAATAAATTACATTATCATTAACAACTCCTATTTTGTTGTTGTTGTTGTTGTTGTTCATTGTTGAATGTTTAATACTTTCACAATCTAAAATCGACAAAAAACTTTTTTTTTCATTTATAGATTTTCAGTAATTAGATATTCTTTTTCTCACTTAATAGTTTTTCATTCCAATTTCAACTAGAAATTCATCAGAATAACAGAAAAAAATATTTCTCATGCTCTCTCTCTTTTTCTTTCTTAAATAATCAGTTCTTTTTTAACGTAGATCATTGTGTTAATGTAAAACATCATATATCAATAAAAACAATGAGCTCACTTCCTTTTTCTATGTTAATTTTCAAAAAAACAACTCTTTTCAGATAGAGTTGTTATCTCTTTTATAAATATGCAGCTATCTCAGATAAAATTTAGTGTGATTATCAGTTGATAAAACATTGATTTACTTACAAATCGAAATAAAACATTCAAGAAAACAAAAATGATTAGTATGCAATCTTTATTTAGTTATAGTCTACTAAAATAGTCATATAAAATGCATAGATTCTTTGAATAATTACATTTACATGTGACTGTTGGCAGTTGTGGATATTATATCCCATACTATGAAAAGTTATTTTTGCTCTTTTAATCACTTTTGTTTCTTGATTTGTGCTGAAATCTGCTCTTTTTTTTTGGAATAAATACGAGGATGATACTTTGACAGATGAATGTATTACTCTTATCCTGATGTTAATTCATCCTCATTCTCATTCTTTCGCATACATCATCAAACTATTTTATAGGCATCTCAATCGATTACTAAAGTATTTTATCGATAACAACTTGATAACTAACAACGTAGTTATAGCTTAACTCTATAAACTTTGAAATGAATGAATGAATGAAAAATAATAAAATATTTTGTTCAAATACATTCTTTTCTCTCAGGAAACTTTGCATTTCCTTCAAAAGTGCTGATTTTCAATGTTTTTTTTTGTATAAATAATTATACTAACTGTTACTTGGGCTCGTTTGCCTCACATGCTACTCATTTCATCAACATATGTTATGTTGTCATAAATATTTTATATCAAGATGATTATATACAGTGAGCATCACAATTAATCACTCATTACTATCTTTATTTTAAATGAGACAAATACATAAAAATAAAGTGAAAGATATCATTTGAGAATCTTTTTTTCGGTATTGAATATAGTTGATAACTCTACTAAATATAATGAGAAAACTATGAAATAAATAAAACTAACAAGAATTTCATTTGATTTCTAATGATTAATACTATTATGAAAAAATGATCTTCTTATCTGTTATTGATATTTGTCTTCTATTGAGTGAAATAAAAATTAGTTGTTTCTTTTTAGTTACATTCTTCAATCATTAACTAAGAAAATTGATTTGAATAGTAGAAAAACACTTCTATATTTTACTGAAAACTGAACAAGAGAAAAAGAAAAAGTTTATTTTTTTTCTTCTCTATTCGCCTACCTAATGATGTCAATGGAGATATTTTATTTTTTTTTGAAATATTTGCAACAAATACAGCATTTGAGTTTAACAATAAAGAAAAACAAAGAATCTGTTTCCTTCTTCGAAGCTGATATGAAATGTGAAGTATTATTTGCTGTAAATATAAAGATGTTCATGATATTGAAATTTTGTAGGTGGGATGTGAAAACAAAGTGTTTCAAACAAAATGTAATGTTATTCTTGTTAAGAATACATCCAAAATCATGGCTTAACGAAGGAAATGCAACGCTTCCTGAACAATAAAATAGAAGTTTTTTGACAACAATATGTTTTTGTTATTTTGTATAAAATATATTTGAATATTATTCTCTTAACATTCTTTTTTGATATTTTGTTTTGTATGATTCTCCAATATATTCACCAGGATAATAAGATGCAACTACAAACATAGTTATATTATCATTGGAAAATGCTCAACCAATTTCTAATTGTTTCACATCATTCCAAATAACTTTAGCAAAATTTTTTGATTTAGAAAACTCAGAATATTCTCAATTATATATGTTTTATTATACCATTGATCGACTGGAACTAAACCTTTAAATTAATGGAAATATTTTAATTCTTATTTAACTTGTAATTTATAATTAAGTACTTGATAATATGAATTTTCCATTCTAATTCCACTATAATTTAGTGATGTTTCACCAAATGTAGCTAATCTATCTGAATAATCTTGAGAGAATTCATTTAGATTTTCACTTAATATTAATAATTGCGAATAATGTTCTTCACGATAATCACTATGTTTAACTAATGCATGTTGCTTGAGCATATTTTAAGAAAGTATATCTGGATATGATGTATTCATCACTAAATTAAAATATATATATTTTCTTAATGATAACAAACGATTTCATTGATGTTAAAAGGCATGAATAAAAAAATCATTTTTAATCCCTTGCCATGACGTGATCCACCTATATATAACCATCATCCGATCAAAAACCCACAACTTTTGAATATTGTCAAAATTCTTTTAATGGAATTGAAAATAACCAAATTAATCTTTCGTTTGAAAATGAAATTGAAATGAGTAAAATATATGTCACTAGTTCATTATTGAGAAAACTTTTATGATCAACAGGAGTGTTTGAACAATTATTTTCCAATAAAGGCATTTTTCTATTCTCGAAAAAAGTAAATTATCAGAGATCCATTATTATATTAATATCGAAATTAAAGTTTAAATAAATCTTTAATTATGCATATTTTATCACATGGTATATTTCTGTCATCCACCAAGACTAAAAATAGTGTTCATTATTTTTACAAAGAAGATTTTTTTAGAATTCTACTTTCAGATCATGACATGTGAGCATTTATCTACTTATATATTTCATCATCGATGTTATCTAAATTATGACTATGATTACAGTCATAATATCTATTGAAATTATAATATGTCTATCTTATAATAGTTGTGTTAAAACTAATTAGTTAATTTTCATCAACATTGTCTGAACAGATTAATACATCATAGTATCATTTAGACATAGATATAACTCATAGCAATATTTTGACAAATCTTATAAGCCTAATAATACCTCTTAGTAATGATTCGTATAATTCTTGTAAAATAATTTCTAGTGACGTAGATATGAGCAAATACAAATTCTTCTTTTGTATAACAAAAAAATTTGCTAAATATAGGTTGTACCATTGGCGTTGTCTGAATACGGATAGTTAATCTATGAGCACAAGACAAGACTGGTCATTTTAATTGGAGAAAACCCAACATGTAATCAATTAATTTTGTTAGAAAATTTTTTTTAATCATATTAAAAGGAAGAAAACAACATGTTCGCGGGATATTAATAAACTAAAATTTCCTATATAATTAAAAAATATATCCACTGGAATTTGCAGTAGTGGAGGTATATAAAAATATATATCATTAAGAATCTTCATTTATTTTATATACTAAAATAAAGTAAGAATGAATGATCAAATCTATTTTACAACAATTGCTATTATTTATTGCATATTAAATATGATTACTATTATATTTTCATTAATCATCGTCTTAACTATTGCCATCAATTGGAAAATGCATTTTTGTTCCGTTTCAAATCTTCTTATTTTGAATTCATCATTTGTTTTCTTTTTATATGCTATCAGCTGTTTTATTCAAACACCATTGATGATTTCTAATAATAACAATATCAATTTACTTTTCTGTCAATTATGTGGCTTTTTTGGTCAATATATAGCCGGAACGCAAATCTTTACATTTCTGGCTCAAGCAATATTTCGTTATTTTGCAACTGTTCTTTATCGACAAAAGATTCTTTTAACTTTTCGTGTGAATACTATTATAATTATATTAGGTTGGATTATTCCTTTAATTATAACAGCTAGTCTGCTTGTATTACCATTAGCTTATCAATATGAGCCTGAATCAAGGATATGTTTTACTTCAACAAAATATTTATTGGGAGCACTTATAGTTAGTATCTTTATTTTCTTTATGCCTTTAACAATAATCATTGGTCTCTATGGATTAATTCTATGGAATTTAACACATTTCGATCGTTTTCAATCCGATGCTAACAATATAATAAGATATAAACGAAATATAAAAGTGTTTCATAATATCCTTCTTATTGTTGCTATACTGCTTGTTTGCGGAGTACCTTATTTGCTTTGTATTATTATTAACATTATCTCTGAAACACCATGGATATTGTACTCAATTAAAACACTATGTATCTCATTATCTATAGCACTTGAAACATTGGTACTATTTTTTACTAATGGTAAAATTAAGAAGACACTTTATGAAAAAATAGGTTTTCATCAGACACAAGTACAAGCGATACAATCCAGAAAAAACAAATCATATCAATAGAAATCAGATATTACCAGTTATTAGTTAATCTTGCTTAGTAAATGATATATTCAATGAATCAGATTTAAAACTACACCAATGGAAATTATTCTTAATTAGACAACATTCCCTTTCACAAAAAAAAACTTTCTAATTTTATCTACCCTTTTTTCCGTTTATAATAACAAGTTCCTTGTCAAAAAGATTTATGTCTATATATTCATTCTTTTGTACGTTGATATTATACATGGGGTGTGGGTAGGTAGGTGTGGGTTTGGGGCTGTATTTTATCCTTATATCACACCCACACCCTCAAGAAATAGACCCCGTAGACGTTCCAAACGCGAGTTCTTTCATACGAAATCAATATCAAATCTTTTTTCGAAAACAATAGTTGATTTTAGCTTAGTAGATAGTTTCTCAATGACGTTTGTAATTCATAATGAAGATAAATAACATATTTTATCGTTGTCTTTTAATGATAGAAATTGTAAAAGTTCAAAGCTATTTTCGAAGTAATTAATAGTAAGATGTTGTAGTTGAGAAAATACATTAATCAGATATTTTGCTTTTTTCAATGAATGTGTAGTAATAATCGACTCTTTGATATTATTCATTTCCGATAATGATTGAAATTTATCATTTTTTTTTGCGACTAACTCGAAATCGATATTCACACCTGATCATCGATCAATTACAAATCGAAAAACATTGGATGTAAAAACACCACCAGAATAACGATAAAAGAATATTATTTAATACATTCATGAGATCAGATTTGTATTTATTCATGAAAAAGCACATGATAAGCTCATTAACATATGGGAAATAGTTTTACAATTTATTATTAATTATTTATGAGGGTGTGGGTGACATGTATGAAACATTCAGACGTAGCTATTCTCACACCCTCAAGTGGACTTCTATTACAGGATCGATTTTCATAACATCAATCAAACTAGTGTATCTACAAAATATTTTCAAGATAATATTGTATGAACACTGAAGCGCATTTTATCTCATCCTAGTAAAGAAAATTTAAAGTCAGTTGCGAGAATAAAATAATTTTTTATATTGTAACGTATAAAATCAACAATGTTTAAGTAGTTAATGGATGAATTTTTTTCACAGATTCAATTGCTGCTTGAATACATGCTTCAAAATTTGAGTCTGCTGCAAAACTATCACCAGCTAGCATTAATAGAGGATGTTCATTAAGTACGACATAACCTGGTTGATTTGGATAAGATTGAATTACTTGTGAATATTTCCATTTATGATATTTTGTATTACTAATATCACGTGAAAGTTCAGGTAAAAATTGAAAGATTTTTTCTTTAATTTCTTCTCCAATTATCATTTTATCATCATCAATATGTTTTGCACCAAACTCGACACTTGTTTGAGCAATTAAAGAAAATGGTGGTTCATCTAAACTTAATTAAATTCTTATTTTTATATTAGAATATATATAACTAACTTTTATTTCGTTTTGCATTATCAATAGCAAGAAAACGAAGACATTCATGTTCCTTTTTATCAACATAATAAATACGCCAAGGAATATTAAGATTTGTTACTGAAGATGAATAAAAAAGGCCAACAGCAAAACGACTAGAATATTTAATCTGAGAAAGATTTTCTTTTACTTCTTTATTTTGATCTTTGAAACAAAATAAATAAATATAAACAAATAATCTTATGAAATAGACTTTTATAAGTACCTATTAATTGAGTAATAGAACCTTGCAATTGACAAAGTACTTGTGGTACTGGAATAGTAACAATAACAGCTTCGGCTTCATCTATTTGTTCTTTATCAGTTGATATTGTAAATTTATCATTTGTTGAATTAAAATCAATCTTTGTAATTTGTTTAGAAAGATTCATTTCAACAACTACAATGATTCAATAATATTTATTTATTTATTTATAATATACAATTTACCTGCTTGTTCGAAAAAATATCGTACAATAGATGCTATTCCACGAGGTGCTGTATAATCAATTTTATCTTGATTTTCACGTATACCAATTGTATTTTGTTTATCAAGTAACTCAATAACATGATCATCGATTAATTGTTGAAAAAATCTAATTTTAATACTGAAGAATTTTCTATTTACTAAATAAAATTTACTTTGTTGTTATGCTATTTGATTTCGTTAATGTTAGATATTGAGCACCAGTATCAACAGAACAATGAGGATTTTCTTCACTATCAAAACTAGTTGTCATACGACCACCTTGAATTTATAAAAAATTCATAATTGAAAAAAAATAATGAAAATCATTTATATTTACCAATGCTTCTGCCTTTATCAAATACAACAAGTTTTATTGCTGGACCATATTGACGGCGAAGTAAAAGAGATATTATTGCACTTGATATACCAGCTCCAATTAGTATTACTTTCATTGTTTATATTTTAATATGAAATTAAACATTCATTTATATAATACCTGAATCGATTCGAAGATAATGAAAACGAATCGATCTCGCTATGTTATTTTAACAGATGTCACCCGTAATATTTCGTCAATGATCGAAAGAATGAATTCGATATAATCTGCTAAACGATAAAAACGCAAACTATGTTTATTTTTCAGACTAAAATAAATATTATGTCAAAAAAAACAATTTTTCTTTTCTCTTTTGAAACATAATTTTATATTAATCATAGTTGCATGAGTATTTTCTTTCCATCTATCTCTACACCTTATGAGTTTTTTCTTCCCTTTCTGTTCTCTTGTATTTCTAAAACGTACATGAATCAGAGTATGTTGCAATAAAATTCAATGTTACAAAATAACGAAAGAAGTATATATAATATCGAGAGAATATCTTAGCAGTGAGTCATATAGAAGAAGAAAACTAAGCAAGACAAATTGTTTGTTCTCCAGGAAAAATGTCGATTGATGTTAAATTAGATATTGATAATCTTATAACACGTTTACTTGAAGGTAAGAAATTAGTGCATAGTTACTATGATGTTTTATTCTTTTTTTTGTTTAAGTACGTGAATATCATGTAGAAAAATTCGTTGAAATCAGTGAGAATGAAATACATAAATTATGTTTACAAGTACGTGAATTATTTCTGGAACAACCTGTTTTACTTGAACTTGATGTACCAGTAAAAATTTGTGGTGATATTCATGGGCAATATGTTGATCTACTACGTATATTTGAATGTAGTGGATATCCACCAGAGTCTAATTATCTTTTTCTTGGTGATTATATTGGTCGTGGAAAACAATCAATAGAAACAATTTGTTTATTATTTGCTTATAAGGTTTAATTAAAAATAATGGAATATATTATTTTAAAAAATCGAATATGAATATTTATTTAGATAAAATATCCTGAAAATATTTTTCTTCTTCGTGGAAATCATGAATGTGCATCGATTAATAGAATTTATGGATTTTATGATGAATGTAAGATAGTATAGATAAGAAGAATTTGATGTAAAATGTATACATATATATCTAGGTAAACGTCGATATAATATAGAATTATGGAACATATTTAATGATTGTTTTAATTGTTTACCTGTTGCTGCTATTATTGATGATAAAATCTTTTGTTGTCATGGAGGTAAATATTTGTTTTCCTATAAATTGTTGGTGTAAAACTAATTCTGAAATGTTAGGTTTATCACCTGATCTTCAACACATGGGACAAATTCGACGAATTAATCGTCCAATAGATGTACCCGATACTGGTATAGAATAATAAAAGTTGATTCTGTTTTAAAAATCATTATTTTCGTTTGTTTTTAAATAGGATTATTATGCGATTTGTTATGGTATGTCGTCTTCTTATCATTCCTTCATTTTTTTTAATGAATATATTAGGTCTAGACCAGCCGAAGATATTGAAGGTTGGCATGAAAATGATCGTGGTGTTTCATTTAAATTTGGTGCAGATGTTGTAGATAAAGTATGATAAGAGATTATCTAACAAAATTCAATGTTTATATTTTAGTTTTTACGTGAACATAATCTGGATTTAATATGTCGAGCACATGATGTAAAGAAATATTTGTAATTAAATCGTATTTTTCGAATTCTTTTTATCTTAAAATAGATGGTAGAAGATGGTTATGAATTTTTTGCTGATCATCAATTAGTAACGATATTTTCAGCACCGAATTATTGTGGTGAATTTAATAATGCTGCTGGAATAATGACAGTAGATAGATCACTTCAATGTTCTTTTCTAGTAACTATTCTATTTTCTATAAACAAATATTCTCAAATTTTATTCTTAGGTATTAAAACCTTCTGACAAAAAGACTTAATGATTTATGTTCAATTCAATTCGAACTGAATTTGTTTATATTATGTTATATTTTTTATATAATTATAAATAAAATTATTAAAATCCGTACAGTTCATTTTCTTCTTAAATAATAAATATTGTCTTGAAACTCTCCCTCTATTGGTTTCTAATCGAATAGATGTCACTTCGATGATTGTCATGTTCAATAAAGTATAGTAATGCCAATGGTCTGCTAGGCGACTTAACTTTACTAGTTCAGTACTCATGGTAGATGTAAAAAGAATGAAATTGATCACTGATTTCTTAGAACGATGAATAGCAATTCATGGCAACATCCATTTGTTAATATATTGAAACACTTCGAAATAAATTCATCGAAAAAATGTGTCAAACAAGGAGATATTTCTCCTATAATGGTAAAGACATCCAGTTATTTCTTTTTTTTTAATACTTCGCATTATAGGATCGAGATCTAAAATCAACTGTATATCGTATACGTGGTTTAATACCAGCAAATAATTACATACAATTTCCATCTCACTCATCAAATCAAAATCTTGGTCTATTAGGTCGTTTATTTTATATATTATTTCGACCTATCTATGATAAATATTTTTGTATACATATTGATATTCTTACACATGAACAACATCTTATACATATATCATTATCGAATATGTATCGTGAATTTAAAGTTACACAAACATCTATTCAATTTCCATATATGACAACAG